CCGATGTATAAAACAAAACAAAAATCCATAATATTGTTTGTTGAAAAGCGTTAGGTTTACGACTAGATACCATCAGATGTATTATATAGGGTTTCAACATTACTATTTTTCTTTATATTCTGTTATCAACCGAGAATCTGATGTTCGTTTGAGTTTTTACGAGTTTGACGAAATGTGTGCTCATATAAAATGTTATGCATTAATTTATACATCATATATATTATATTATTTATCTTTTAGTAATAACTGTCACAGTACTATCAAACGTATTGTATAGTTCACTATAGTAGATTATGATGATAAATTAAAGTTCCTGGGCTTGTTCGCATCGAAATGCCAAGTAATGGATCGCGTTCGTCGCAAAACGATAATATATTATAAAAACAGAACATCTCGAGCAAACAGGTAGGTTCAAACTACACACATTATGATACCTATATTATATATGTCCACTGTGTAGTAAGCTCTCAGGTAAATGGTTTGCATTGAATAAATACCGTTCTATAATAATGCTACAGTAGCCTAGACAGGATTATCTTAAATGAGGAGGTTACATTTTATAAGCACGTAAATAGTTAGACGGTTTTATAAATTAAAAGTAATGACTATATTTTGTCATATTAAGTATTTTAAATCCAAATACAAACAATCGAATAAACGTAGTTAATTACACAACGTAGTTAACTGAGGAATTGTAAATCACTGAGACCCGAGTAAAGTAAGTGCACTGAACTGTATTGATTATGACTATAAAAATCTGCACTTATTTCCCACGATCCGAAATGAGTTGAAAAAAATGTCAAAATGATGAGAGGGATCATTTTGTACTTAGAATATGCAAGGAATACCGTGGAAAATAATATAGTTCTTAATAATAAATAATTTTAAAATTTCATGTTTAGAAGCAAATGTTAATTTTGGCCACTCGGCATCACGGTTGTATACTATGTTTATCCTAATAGTGAAATGCATTGTAGAAATACAGTGCTGCAGCAGTATAATATAGACTTTATATAATATTATGATGTGTGTATCACGGATAACGTCTATTTAACTAGCGCGATCGTCGTTGCTGTACGTAATGTTATATGCAGTGTAGTGTGTTTATCTTTTCGCTTTCGCCCTCCACCGTTCCTAAACGTGCTCATCCCTCCTCATGCGTCTGGTGTGACGGTGCATCGTTTCTTGCAAATGCCACCCAGAAAGAATCCGCACGCAAGCGTTTACCGCGCTGTCAAAAGGCCATAATCCGCTGGGTTTCGATTTCAATCTCGAAATGGAGATGAGCACCACCGTCGCTGCTTGTTGTGTGTAAACCCCCCTCGGAGGCGAATCGAATGCTTTTTAAGAAAATAATCCCCCCAAGGAATATACGTGCTAGCTCGTGTGTGTGTGTGTGACTGAAATAGGCACTCGGGTGATAGAATGGATCGTAGAGCGGTATGGCAGAGACGAAAAAAAAAAGCCGCAAAAGGTCGACGTAGCCGCGGAGACGTGAATGACAGAGGGGCGGAAGATGGCAGGAACTGATGATATGGGCTGAAGCGGAGAGTTGATTTTTTTCCCACTCCATTACCTCGAGCGTATATGTAAGTGTGTATTTGTGTGTCCACCAGCCGTATATAAATATATTATATTATAGTGATTGGATCGACGATTACTGACTCGCGAGCGGTAGCCGATAGTCGACTGCTGAGTGAAATGCCGGAGGAAAAAAACATGATAGATATTATTAGAAACCATTATCCTCCCGTTGTATCCTATACCGGTATAAAGAAGTCAGTTGTTTTGGATGTGTGAGAAAAGAGTAAAATAATATAGTTATTATAATATGTATCTTTTGTGTTTGCTAACTGACACTCAGTTATTATTTTTTTGATGTGGTATTTAATATAGTTTTTATTGCATAGCATTTTTAAAGTAACTGCCGTATTTAAGTATATATTTCTTTTAAGTATATATTTCTATAACTAAAACTAAATAAAATACCATATATATATATATATATATATAAATATACTTTAATAACATAATAACATAGCATATTAATCATCATAGTACTTACGAGGTACACATTGCGCATCTTGTATATAATGTTAGAAACGAATTGATGTTACTTACCAAGTAGTATTGTTACAAGGTAGGTAATAAACTGTCGTGACTAGTGACATAGTATTATGTTTGACTATCCAATTTAAGAAATTTCGTGAATAATCGTATTTAACCTGTTAATTATTTGTTGTGTGTGTGTCTGTAATCGACAATAATAGTATTATTGTATAGTTATATTGCATCGACAATGTAGACGTTCCACGTACGGTTAATGACTTTCGAAAGAAATGTCCGAGGAAACGAAAACACGATATTTTAAGAAACCATTAGCTTATACAAACTGATATATATATATATATATATAAATAAAGGTGGAACTTATTTGGAAAAAGAAAAATAAATTCAGTCGTTTCAGAGGTAAATAGATATAATGTTGTCATGTATAATTGTCGTATGCTGTATAAGTTTCCGTTTGCTACGACTATCGTTTCGGATTGACACGCGATTTTTTTCCACCATAAGAATATTGTGGTATTTAATATATAGTTAATTAACAGTAGCCTGTAGTTCAACAAACGTCGAATATTATACCATTGAGACATAAAAATAACGATAATTTACCTAGTACATACTCGTATATATGTACTGTGTATTTCGTATTCCGATTCAGTAAGGAAAAATCCCGTATTCAATCTTATTTAGCTAGACATTATGTTTTTTAGTATGTATTTACTTTAAATTTATAGTTTGTAATCGATCTAAGATGGGAACAACAAAATATTTCTTGCACATTGTTTAATCGTTTTATAATGTTAATTTTCTATGTCAATTTTAGTACCTGCGTTTTGTTTTCAATACTTTTTCAATAAAATCGATCAGAAATGTTTTATGTTTCTATGAATGTGATTCATATTATATAAACAATAATATGAACAATAATTATAAATGTAAATAGTTTTTGTCTACTATCTTCTAAAGTGGTGTTAAGTTTTCACAAGTGTTTTAGTATCTAGAAACATTTTCGGAAGTAAGACTTTTAAAATACGCATTTAATGGAAACAATGAAAAAAAGGCATCTGACCTTTTCCAGCCGGGTGGACAGTTCCGGTTACTCTTTGACAGCCATTGAACCTAATGGTGCTATAATAGTTCCCTTTGAGTACATGTGTTCTTTCAGCCAACGTTAAACACAATTTTCGAAAAAAACCTTATGCTGCCATAAACTTATAGCTAAGATGTATTCACATTTGTTCAGAGCATCTAAAAAATCGAAAATTGTGAAGCACGTTTTCCAGGTCTGTTAGCTAACAATTAATTTTCAGCTCTATGAGAAGGATAACGTCAATCTTAAATTTCTTATTATTTATATCAGTTTCCCTTGGATTTTAAACTATCTATGTATGTTAACTTTTTGAAAAGTACTTGTACTAGTGTGTTTTTGTTATAAAAATATACAAATAGCCATGAAAATAGTTCGACTATGGATAAGAATAGCATTAAATAATAACAATTTAAGTATTCAAAAAAATACGTATTCACTAGATTTATACGACTATGTAAATCGTTATCTGCATCATTGTTTAGCCCTCTTGAATTTAAAATAGATTCGAAATACAAACGACAGTATGGAAACAAAAAAACTATTCGATCATTGTGACATTTAACATTTCAACAATATCGATTTACTACTAAAAAATAATATGTTGCATTGTTGCCGTAACTTTGTTTGCTGTTCTCATAAAATGAAAAATGTTGTACTGATTATATTTCAATTTTAAATACATTCTAGACCGATAAAATGCAATTAAAAAGTATAAATTCCTCGAAATGCTATGAGTTATAACCTTAAAAACCGTAACGGCGTAATGACTAATGAGTAAGTCATTTTTTTAAGAAATCAAATAATAATGTGGTTGTATTAACGAATAATGAAACATGATAACGATAAGCAATGAAAAAACTTTAATTTTATAAAAAATATTTCTGGAAATCGTGAATAACTTATAATAATGATGAACTCATTAATAATAATATAACCTATTAATCTTCCCGCTGTTGTATTTCATAATATTTATATACTTAAGTGGATTTTAATAAATGGATTAAAATTGTATTATTTTAATGATTATTGTCACAATCATACAGTTATATTTCTAAAGACTTCTTTCATCGATTTTTCAGACACAATTTATAATTTAATAAAACAATAAGCAGTATAAATGAAGTAACATAATATTATCATAGGTACTTTATACCTGTAGTAACTAGATACAACTTACCTAATACCCATACATTAAATATTTATAATAATTATTAAATACTGTTATATTGAAGTATTGAACTGCAATAATCCGTATTTTATTTTGTTTTCAATTAAACTCAGGGTTATCCGTACGGAAATAGATAAAATCATAAATTTAATATAAATTATGAATGAGTGAAAATGCTGAGATCACTATATTATGTGAACTGCATATACCGCAATATATCTATATATCTAACCATATAAATAAAATGTATGTTGACTTGGTATTTGACATTTTATATTGGGTATTAATGCCAGCTTAAATATATTCCATATCGTTGCTTCAATCGAAAATATTATTTGGTAATATTACCTCGAATTTGGTGAAAATGGCATTTTTTCATGACAAAAAAAATGTTACAATAATAATCGTGGAATTCGGCAGTAATCGCGGCATCTATAGACTTCTAGAGGACCATTAAAATATTTCCTGTGTGTATACTTTTCTTTTCGATGTACTTTACAATTTTACATCCTTTAAAAAAACAATTGAAATTACGATAATATTTCGATATATTTTATTACATCTGTACAAATTCTACTGTAATGTTTCAAGTTAAAAGTGGATCGCGTTTATTGTAATTGTTTACAACAATGATAATATGTTGTTATAACTAATTAATAAAGAACTTTTAATTTGTAGATTCAGCTTTATGGTTACAACACTGATCTTTATTCAAATATGTCCGAAGCCCAAATGAAATCACAAGGAATCGTCGGTGTATCACTAATGGTTCAAGTGAGTTCTGATAAATGTCCGTTATTACTTTATAGTTTTACAATTTCTTAATCATTTATTTTAACTTTGCAGATTGGACAAACAACGAATTCAGAATTTCAAATGGTCACCAACGAGTTCGGCAAACTTTTGTACAAAGGTAAGTTAATATTAGTATTCTTACTTGTTATTCATACTAGCACCTAACCTATATACATACCATTTGGCATTTATTATGGTAAAGATAAATGTTTTATATTTTCAAATCATTGATTTTCGTGTTGTGATGTGTTTTATAAAAATTTAAAAATTAAAACTAATAGATATTAGTAATTCGTATTAGCAGCATTGAGTTATTATAATAACAGTTCCATCAAATCTATATGACTGTATGGAAATAATTAACTGAAATTATTATTTATAAAATATTAAAAATGATCAGCATAAAGCTAATAGCATAGCATAACAGCTAAAATATCAACTCGTTGAAGTCGATATGGTTGGTTCATACTACATATCACATAGCGTATTATATAATATGATCTAAACCGTTTTACTATTATGAAAACATTAGGTAGAATTTCTAGAAGTTTTTGGTGCGTATCGTTTCTTGGTTTATTTTTCTTATTCGTAATTTCGGTAAAATAATTTGTACGAGTTGATTTAGTAGGAGTGGGGCAGAGAAATACGGCATTACATCGCCCTTAATTTTAAGTACAGCTCTAAAATCACTTTACAGTCACTTAACGATTTCAGCTTTAATGCGGACGTGCTTTTGTCGTGTCACGTGTGTGAAAGACAATGACAACAAACTGCGCGGTGCTAAGTCATTTTAAAACTTTGTTTTTGTCTTGAATACCACTAGACCCACACATTCGTTATTCGTACATTTATATATGTATTCGTATACGTATATGTTGCGTGATACGTAACGCGTAAAACAATTATTTAATGTGATATTCTTAGACGGTGAACATTTTAAACACAATAAAAATATCTCAAAAAAAACTGGTAAAAAATCGATAAATAATGTACTCCACTATACTATACAGTCACTATATAATATTATTTGAATAGGTTTTATTTGCATTGAGTTACAAGTTACAACGGAAATAATTACACTGCTGACTCGAAATTGCAATATTGTAGTATCGCGTTCAGATTGTTACCTAACAAATTAGTTTCTTCCGAACGTTACTATGTTTTTCCGCGTTGTCGTATAGTTTTCACAATTGTTTGGAAATATTATTACTTAGTGAAAGAATTTTAGTTTCTCAGGATTATTCCATAATACAAAACCCGTTTGATACAGTGCAATTAAAATAAAGTTGTTCGTAATAAAATATTATGAATCGATATTTGAACATTTCTCGGAAATATTAACGAAACGAATTTATTTCTTTAAATTCGATTCACCCCAGTACCCCAGTTTAACTTATTTTTTTATGAAAATATATGAACGAATTCGTTTTAAGTATTTATTTCGTGAATTCCAAACATTTTACTAAACAGAAGTTATAATTTGCCGAGAGAGTCGTATATACAAGAAATACGTTTTTACTACAGTATGCCGTAATTAAATATTTGTCGTTTTAGACTTCAGACAACCTGAAACTTGTGTTTAACTATGAGCATTTTTATTTTCAATGGTTTTTGTAATATTTACATATCTGCATCAAAAGCAAAATTATATACAATTTGTGGTTGAAGAATTTGCGTAAGTAGTTTTATTGGTTATTTTATCTATTTTATAAAATTTATGAAGTTAAGTCTCTACTCTGTCATAAGTTTACTGACATAATTTATTCTGTATCGTATTATTAATTGTATGTAGAAAATCAATAAATAAATAGTTATTTTGTTAAAAAAGTGAAATAAAATAAATATATTTTCATGATTTACTCCACACTACACAGTCCGCAGTAGGTGAACCTAAATTATTCGTTATTGTTTGCTTAATTATACGTTTGAAGTACTTTGAAGAGTATAGTTTTCGACTGTATACTATGAAAATTAAATAGGGATCGTCCATTTGACGTGATTCTCTGAATTTTAAAATTGATTTTGTATTTTTTACCTTTCGAAGTCATTATTAGAATTTAAAATAAAAGCCAGAAGAAGTACATTTCACTTAGAAGGTAAAAACTTTTATCTTAAAAAAAAAAATAGTAATCAAAAAAAATAAAAATATTCTAGTTTTTAATAATGTGAAAAAGCTACTACTTATTATACTTTGAATAATTTCAAACATTATAAACTATTATAAAATTTGAAAACGATGATTCTAAACGCTGGCTTAAAAATAAAATTATAGAAGCATGTTTGACAAGAACTATTACCTTCTTATAAAAGTTTTAAGCACACTCCGACCCTGTTAATAATCATCGGCAACCAAAGCAAACCATATCAAAAGGTAAACTTAAATGTGACACATTAACGATACATTTTAATACACGATTACCCATTGGTAACCATTTTAATTGTTTTTCATTTCAATTGGGTGTTTTATTTAAATCGTACACATTGTTCACAGAGAGAACTAAAAATTTGTTTGCAACTTTAAGGTTTTAATACATAGATATTTCAGGCCTCAGTGTGCCAAATGTAATTTAAAATATAGGTATAAAGTATAAACAAAATATCATTAAAAATAAGAGATATCTAAGGTGGGAAAAGTATTGGCACAATAAAAGGAAAATGTCACTCTAATCATAAACTTCGATAAAACATTAAGACAAGGGCTTAAAAAACATCTTTATACTTTAGACGATCCCTTTATCTTTATTCTAAGAAAAAATTATAGTTCAAGATGAAGTTTAATAATATCATATTACACTAAAATGAATTACACTACTGTTGTTCACATATATTACTTGTTTGTGTTGGGAGAACTGAATAATTTATTATATATTAATATATTATAATCTGCCAATTTTAATCCTTTCGAAAGAAACTAAAAATGAAAAATATAATGTGTTGCATATTCAGCATTTATATAATATAAGAAACGTAGTGTTTAACAATTAATAATAATAAGTATCATATTACGATCGGAGGGGATTGTCAATCGATCAGTAGCCAGCACATAATTTCATTATACGACATTACGATTTATATGTTTGACAATAAAAGACTATAATTTACGTTTGCGTTATTATTCACATTAATGATACACAACAAATTGGCGACGAAGATAATTCAAATCGTTTGATCGTAATCACTATTGCTTAAAAAAAAAAAGAAAAAAAGAAATGACAACTCCGAAGACTGATTCCATAATGAACTTCAGTCAAGTTATTGGGTCACCAGGAACTTTTGAAACAGGTATGGACATAACAATTTTCGAGTCAAAATTAACAAATTTTTTTATGGCAAATTCGATTGAAAACAAGATTCAAAAAAGAGCAATTTTACTATCGTCAGTGAGTGAAGAAATACATAAAGTGCTTTTCAGTTTATGTGTTCCTAGCACGCCTAACGATGTGGAGTATGATACTCTAATAAAAAGTTTGAATAAATATTTCAAACCGGTAAAATCGTACTTTGCGGCTAGGTATACATTTTATCAAGCTAGACAAAGACAAGATGAATCAGTGTGCCAATGGGGTGCACGTGTCAAAAATCTTGCTTCAAAATGTGGCTTTTCATCGGAATTAACAACGGTTATTCGAGACATATTTGTTGTCGGCATGGGTTCAGGACCAATACAAGATCGTCTGTTAGAAGAAGATGCTGCAAATGTTGGAGTTACATATTCAAAACTAATGGAAATTGCGACAGCCAAAGAAGCTGCAATCAACGACAAAAGCAGCTGGAACAAAGAAGAACGCGTAGATTTGAAGTACCAGAAAAAAAGCAATGGACATAGTCAAGCCAAGCAGGGGTTTCATTCAAAAATCAAATGCGGGGTTTGTGGCCGTTCCAATCACCTTCAAAAAGACTGCAGATACAAGGACTACGAATGCAACAATTGCGGTGAAAAGGGTCATTTGTCAACTGTATGTAAAAAGGGTAAGAAAGAAATGAATAATAATAAAAAGACACAAAATAAATTTTTATACGATAACGACGATGATGACGAAACAGTTAATTATGATCTTGCGAATACTTTTTTTTCTATTGTTGATCAAAATTCTCAAAAAAAGGCGGTGAAACCGTTTACAGTAAATTTAATCGTAGAAAACAACAACGTTAACTTCGAAATTGACACTGGTTCACAACACAGCGTAATTTCAAAAAGATTATATCATCAACTGTTTAGTCATATCATATTAAAAAAAAATGATATCTCGCTCTCCGATTACGTCGGCAACGAAATTAAACCGATTGGAAAAACATTTGTAAACGCGGCATATCAAAATAAAAAATTTACAATGTGTCTTTATGTAATCGACAATGGTGGTCCTCCACTAATAGGTCGAAATGATATAAAAAATATAAAATGTTTTACTTTGTTTAATATTGAAAATTACGAAAATGTCGATAGTATTATAAGCAAATTTAACAGTGTGTTTAAAGATGAAATAGGTACTTTTAACAAATACGAAATTTCCCTAAATATCAAACCTGGGGCGGTACCTAAATTTTACAAACCTAGGTCTATTCCGTTAGCATTAAAACCAAAGGTTGAAACCGAAATTGAGCGTTTAATTAAAAGCAATATTTTAGTTCCCGTCGACCACAGTGAATGGGCAACTCCAATAGTACCAATATTAAAACCGGACGGCACGGTTAGAATTTGCGGTGATTTTAAAATAACAATTAATCCGGTATTAGAAGGGACCGAATACCCTCTTCCAAAAATAGAACATTTATTTGCAAATGTTAGTGGTTCAAAATATTTTTCAAAAATAGATTTAAAAGACGCATACCAACAAATGGTCATTAAAGAATCTGATCGCAAATATACCACTATTAATACACACAAAGGTTTATTTAGCTATACCCGTAACCCTTTCGGTATAAAATCATCGGCAGGGGAGTTCCAAAAAGCTATGGAAACTTGCGCAGCAGGACTTGAGGGCATAGGTATATTCCAAGATGATATAATTGTTGCAGGATCTACTATCACAGAGCACAATGCTCGTCTGGAAAAATTACTAAATGTATTGTCTAATACAGGTTTAAGAGTTAAGTTGAATAAGTGCAAATTTATGCAAA